TCTCTCTCTCTCTCTCTCTCTCTCTCTCTCTCTCTCTCTCTCTCTCTGGTATGAGTGTGTGTGTGTGGTGTGTGTGTGTGTCTGTGTATGTGTGATGTGTGGTGAGTGTGTGTATGCAGTGACTTTGTTCACGTATCTGTGTAGTATGTGTGTGCAGTGAGTGTGTGTGTGTGTGTGGTGTGTGTGTGTGTAGTAAGTGTGTGTGTACACTGAGTATGTGATATGTGTTTGTGGTGTGTGTGTGGTGAGTGTGTATAGTGAGTTAATATGTGTGTGGTGTGTGTGTGGTATGTGTATATGTGTGTGTGATGAATGTGTGTGTGTGTGGTGTGTGTTGACTGTGTTTGTGTTGAGTATGGGTATGTGTGGGTATGTGTGTGGTGAGTTTGTGGTGTTTGTGTTTGGTGAGTTTGTTTATGTGTGTGTGGTTTGTGTACATGTGGTGAGTGTGTGTATATGTGTGTGATGTATATGTGATGAGCATGTGTATGTGTGTGTGTGGTGAGTGTGTGTGTGTGTGCAGTGAGTTTGTTTACGTATGCGTGTGTGTGTGTGGTGTATGTGTGTGATGAGTGTATGTATGTCTGTGTTTGGTGAGTGTGTGTGTGTTCAGTGAGTTTGTTTATGTGTGTATTGTGTGTGAATATGTGGTGCGTGTGTGTGTGTATGTGTGTGTAGTGAGTGTAAGTGTATTGTTGTGTGTTTGCAGTGAGTGTATGTATGTGTGTGTGTGGTATGTGTAGTGTGTTTGTTTATGAGTGTGTGTGTAGTATCTGTGTGTGATGTGTATGTGGTGTGTGAATGTGTGTGTGTGGTGAATGTTGAGTGTGTGTGTCTCAAGAGTGTGCATGTGTGTGGTGAGTGTATGTGTGTATATATACATATATATATATATGTGTGTGTGTGCGTGTGTGCGTGTGTGTGTGTGTCTGTGTGTCTGTGTGTTTATGGTGTTAACACAGTGAATGTGCATTGTATACGTGCATGAGTGTTCTGTGGCATGCTAATGTATGTGGAGGCCAGAGCAAGATATTTGGTGACTTCCTCTATTGCTGTCTATTGCTTATAATCAGAGCCTAGTCTTTTTGGATAGGCTGACCAGTATGATTTTAGGACCTATCTATTTCTGACCACAAACACACACACACACACACACACACACACACACACCCGCCAGCTACAGAATTAACACAATCAACCATGTACCTGGATTTTTCTATAAATGCTAAGGTTCCAAAGGCAAATCCTCATATATGTGGAACAGAATTTTTATGCATTCAGCCATCACCTCAGCCCCTCAGTGGGTATGTCTATTCCAAAAATCTTTTCTTCCAATTCAAAAACCAAACAAACAAGAAAACAGAATTTAATTCATTTCGAAGGGTAAAACAGAAGAGCATAAACATTTAAGTCAGAAAAATGCTTACATAAGGAAATAAATGAGTGGTTATGGAGAATTTTTCACACAGCAATGCTAGGTAACTCGTACATGTTTATATTTCATTTTAGAATTGAAGTGAACTGTGGGAAAAGGGTGAGAGGTTCATAAATGCCCATATGTCATTGAGAGGCTATTGACAACTGAGGACTGGGGGAATGGAGAGTCAGTTTTCTTCAGGGCTGAGGCTTCTAGTAAGTGGCTTATGCTTTAGTAGCAGTTGTTCTCACCCTTCCTAATCGTGTGACTGTTTAATACAGTTCCTCATGTGGTGCTGACCCCCAACCATAAAATTATTTAATTGCTACTTCATAACTGCTATTTTGCTACTATTATGAACAGTAATGTAAATATGTGCTATGCGATCCTCCCCCGTCCCCCCTCCGCCCTCCCCAGCAAAGAGCAAAGAGGTTGCAACCCACAGGTTCAGACCCATTGTTCCAGTGGATGTTCTAACACCCTGGTACTTACTGGCAGGATTAAATACATTCAGTTGGATAAAATTTGAGGACGTGAAGTTTATAAGGAAACACAGTAAGTATTATTTCTAATTCTGGAAAGAGTTGGAGGGGATTTGATCAAGATATGTTATATATATATATATATATATATATATATATAAAAAATTCTCAAAGATTATATGTATCTGTATATATATATGTATATATTAAAATTCTGACTAAGTTTAGGCATGCAGTAGACCACTTAATATTAGAATTTAACATATTTTTAAGATAGGAATACAATCACAATTAGGCTATTTAGTTATTAAAACTCAGTGAAGACACCTGATTGTCTTCAAAAAGAACCCTTACAGTATAAACCGATAAACTGAAAGTGATTTAGTGATGATATGATCAAGTCAGAGAAAAAGCCACACTAAAGCTTTGCCTTCTCTGCTTTATCTAAAATCTCATCCAATATGGAAGGATTTTTTTCCTGAATTTCCCAATTTATATAAATTGCTCCCCTAAACCCCCTCCTGCTCATATGAAAACAGGCAGCTTACAGTTTAATTTTTGCAACAAATACATTTTTAAATTAAAAAACCATATAAGCAAAAAATCAAATTTATCTCTGATAAAAATAAACCAAACATTTTAAAGAGATCCTCAAATCTCTTTTTTTCATTTTAAAGGATTAATATCCTGTTATATATGAAATATAAATATTTGTTCATCTTTTAAGTATCATATATTACCTCATTTATGAATAGACACAAGATCTGTAAATGAATTAGGGAAATTTTAAAGAAAAACAGAGGTGGGGAACACAGAACAAGGTTCTTTATTATGCAACACCAAATATTTATTACAATTTGAAGTGCAGGTTTCCATTGGCAAAAGAAAAATCATCAAATAATCACTGATTGCCTTTGTTTGGCCTTAGTATACAAATAAAGAAAGAAAAAATGGCAGTTTATAATCTCTGCTCTTAAATCATTTGCAGCAGAGATGGAAACATACATGCATGCAAGGAAATGCACAGATAAGTTGCAAAACTTTGTAATTCTATGAAATAGACCTGCATAATCTTTATAAACAAAAAGTCTGACCACTGTGTATTCTTGACTCACCTTTTGATCCTTTTAACAATTTAGGTTTAGTACTGAACAACACGTAGTGTATCAACACCAATGCAAAATACATGTTTGATGTTTAAGAAAAAGGAAACATGACCCAGTACCAATCCAGCGTTAACACATCCTAGCCAGCTTTGAGCAAGGCCTGGCTCCTTTCTCATTTTCTGTCTTCTCACCTAGGGAGAAAACTAATACATCTGCACAGCGTCCCATTATCTCTATTTATCTGAACTACAAAGTCCTTTAATCATACCTATCCTTTTAATCCCCAGCTCCTTGATCCTGCATTGTCACAATCCCATATTATCACATTTAAAGGCATAAAACCAGAGGTTTTAGTAGCATATCTATTCTACTTTAAGTATGAATCTTTCAAGTTCACAAAATAAAACATTTGGAGCTTACAAAGAGGGGGAGTTTCTCTCACAGTGAGCTAGATGGGCTCATACTTTTTCCTTTTGCACTTTTTTCTTCCAACTGAACTCATAAGCAGATTTTGAAAGTTTAAAATATGCTCAAATATAACATTTGGTATTAAAAATAGCAACAGCAAAAATATCCAGTCTATACCTTAGAGCAGTGTATTTTCTGCCCCGTCTGCCATACATTCTACATTTATGTACTTAATATCCCTGCATCGAATGATGGCACTGAAACTCTGTGAAAGTTACTCAAATGACAGCATTCAAATCTATCCACAAGTCTTGATAGTACTAAGGCAAGAAGTGAAAACAAGTACATTCTTTGATCAATATGAAGACAGAGCGTTGAAAGTAAAATAAGGCTTGAAAGAAAAAGACTGATTTTTGGATTAATCTTCAACACTCAAATGAGCAGAATACTTGAATACCTAAACCATCCCCATCAGCTGAGATTTCGTTATAAACACAAGATTCTATGACAATTATTTCCACATAATAAACTTTTTAGAAAAGTGAGTTTTGCACCAACAACATACAAACTATATACATACACCATGATCACAATTCATGAGTGACATATTTCCAAAAGTAGGCAAACTGGAACATGGAATGTTTTTTTTTACACAATTGGAACAACACTACAAAACTATGGTTAGTGCTCCAGAACAGATGTGCAAACTCTGTTTATTAGAAAATATTCTTAATATATCACACGTGATGAAAACTAAAAATAATAGCTTTAAAACTGCTAATATTATTAACACAACACTTATACAATTCTAACGTCATAACAGGATTTTCTTCCATAATAGACTACATGGATCACTCACTCAAAAACAACACAGCTAAGAATTAGTGGAAAGTATACGCATGGAAAGTCCAAAGAACGGTGGGGAGGTCCAGAAAATTCTCAAAGCCAACTTCTGAGGGTTCCATCTCGTTCTCTCTGCTGAGAAGCACACTGGATACTCTAGGCCAGTTCAACCTGGACAAAAAGAAGAAAAAAAAAACAGAAAAAGACAAGAGTTAAAACAGCATGTGCAACATGATGTACGATTAGATTGATCTAAAAGATAAAATCCATACTTTGAGAAGGAGTCGTGTCACCCTTAGCTCCAGAGGCCTGCGTAGTTGCCATGGAGGCCTGAGGCCAGTGGTCCCCCACCTACGAAGAGCTTCATCTCTGGCCAGTTGTAGCAGTGAGTGTAGAGCGCGTTGGGGAAATCTTCGACACCAGCAACATAATTCTCTAGGAGATCATCCTGGTTGATCCAGCCGCTGCCACAGGTGAGCTTGAGCTTCCTTCCAGAGGGCACAGGAAACATGTCTGGATTGGCTGCGGATCTTTCCTCAAGGAACTTCTGGGCACGGATGTCATAGAAGAGCAGAGAACCGTGGCCTGTTCCCACAGTGACGATGTGCTGGTGGACACTCAGAGAACGCACGCCAGTGCCTCCCTCTCTGGAGCACAGTGGCGGGATGTTCTGCTGGCCTTGGCGGAGATCCAGGAATGAAACGTGAGACTGGGAACCCACAGCATAAAGGGAAAACTCATCACAGTAGGTGAGACACACGTTCTCACGGCAGTAAGGCAGCCTCAGGGACAGGAGCCTGGACAGGGAGCTTCGGGCTTTCCACAGGTGGAAGTAGCCATCCAGGGACACAGCTCCCAGCTCCTGGTTTTTGTTGCTGAAGGCGAGTGCTCGCACTTTGCGGTTACCTGGATTAGTAGTGGCTTTGGGGATGGCCTCCATATCTGTAGGACTGATGTGGGCATACACAGGAAGCCCTGCATCCTTGTGCCAAGCAATGCTGCCATTGAACATGTCAGGATCTACCTTCCAAAGCGCCACAGTACCGTCACGGGAACCACTCACAGCCACAGTGTCACTCATCCACGCAATGGCAAAGATCCAGTCCCTGTGGCCTTGGCAATCTCCTAGGCACACCGGATCCAGAGTGGGCAATTGGTAGATTGCCAGGCTGTTGGGGTTTTCACCTCCAGTGGCCAAGAGGGTCTTGGAGGGATTCAGCTCCACAGCATGAATGCCACAGGAGGGTGGGCCACGAGACAGGTCGGGCACCCTGTCGCGCATCAGAGGAATGCGCATGATGTGGTCGGTCTTGACATCAACCACAAAGAGCGTGTTGCACTTGGTGCCACACACCACCTGCCTGGCATTGAGCCACTGCGATGCGAACACCTTGTTGAGGGGGCCTAGGGTCAGCTGGCGCTCTCTCAGCAGCTCGGGCAGCCTGAGTACCCCGTAGCTGCGCAGATCGCCCTCGAAGCCTGCGAGCCCCGGGTGGCCATCAGCGCCCAGCGCGCGGCCCTTCAGGTAGTTCACCATAGAGAGGTGAGCTACGGGCCGCCGCGGCCTCTTGGTCAGCAGCAAGGACCCCTCTGCGTTGCCCTCCCCAGCTGTCGCCATCGCTTCTGCGGGGCCTGGCGATGAAGAAGTCCCGGCGCCCTGATCGACCTCGGCGGCTTTCCGCTTCCTGCTACCTGTTTGCTGCGGGCCCATGGTGGGCGGCGAGCGGTTGGAGGGCCCTGCGGGCTGCGGCGTCTCCTGCTCTGCGGGAGAGGGCTGCGTCTGCGAGTCGGCCTGACGCATGATATCACCGGGAGCTGGAGGCTAGGGGGCTAGGGAGAGGGCGATCGACCGATCAGCGGGGAGCCTACCGAGTCCGGAGAGCCTTGGCGGCAAAGGAGGTGGTGGCAAGGCAAAGGAGGTGGTGGCGGCGTGACCCGGCGAACAACGCGAGGTCGGGCGGAAAGAGCCGAGCGAGCTCGGGAGGATCGGCGCAGGGGCAGAAGGTGCGGCTAGAGAGAGAGAGAGAGAGAGAGAGAGAGAGAGAGAGAGAGAGAGAGAGAGAGAG